CTTCAGCTGCTTAGCCTGACTAATTGGAGAAACAGCTTTTTGCTGCAAATTTCTTTTACATGTGTGAACACTCGAAATAGGCAAATGTTAAAGCACATTTTATGTCTACTTGTCCGGAATTTAGAAAACAAATACTTTCGTAAAGTTAGAAAACTCTAATCAGCTAGGTTTCCTCGTTGGCGTCCTAAGCGATTTTGCAATCTCAACTTTGATGCGTCTGCACGCGTGATGTAGACGTACGCTAAAGCTGAACTTAAAATCACACAACAGCACAGAATATCCTTGTGAAATTTCAACTTCCTGTCTTGTCTGGTTCCAGAAGTTTCCCGTCAAAGAATTTACATGTCTACTGAAAACGTTCCGTACGTGAGTCTCAAGCGTAGGCGAGCGATAATACTAAAAACAGAGGACCGCACATGGGGTGAGCACATGTTCCAGAAGTTTCAGCTTCCAAGTTTTTCTGATTTCGAATCAAAAGTGGGGTGACAGAAGCGAACACTCGGACAAACACCATAGACTAGGACACGCAGACATACACACAAACAAACAAATGCACACAGACAATCTCTTGTCAGTATGCGTTTTTGCACTTACATAAAAATGCAAAAACGCATAAAAATACGGAAGACATACGACAAGAAAAAATTACCCATAAATTCAGTGAATCAGCATATTCCGCCAGCTTTTCAATATCATCTGCAGGACAAGCGGTGTTCAGTGGTCCTTCACTAACAGGATCCGGATTTGATTCAGCACTCGTCACACTGCTTGAGAGATCAGCATTATTTTCTACAGATAGTTTTTTCTGAAATTATAAAATGAAATACTTACTGTCCTTTAAGATACTGAAAGATTACTCTAGAAACATCCACTTTGCAAAAAAGTATTGCGCATTAGCACTAAAAAGGGGGAAAGCTGTTAAAGATAATTGGCCAACGCACAGGCTGCCCGTGCGAAGATGCGTTTTTTGCATAGTTCCCCGCAGTTTTTGTCGCTACCGGCACCGGTTTTCTCGGTAAATGCTTCTAGCTAAAAAAATTAAAATTGGCCGCCAGAACTGATGGGAAACATCACCTTAAAATTTCAGCTTTTTAGCTTTCCTGGCACCTGAGTTAGCAGCTTACTGGAACAAAATTTTCACAGGCCCGTAGGTGGGTACCACGCACACCCGATGCCTAGATTTGAGCTCGCTGACTTGCGCGGACGGGGAACATCCTCTTAAAACTACAGTCTTCTAGCTTTTC